AACTCCTGAGCTCAAACAATCCGCCCGCCTCGGCCTCCCAGAGTGCTAGGATTACAGGCGTGAGCCACCGCACCCGGCCCTGAACTAGTCCTTTCTTGATGGACATTTTGGTTGTCCCCAGTCTTGACATTACAAACAATGCTTCAAGGAACCGTGACTATATGCAAATGTCCTTTTGAATTTGCACGAGTGCATGGTCAAATTGCCCTCCATTGGGTATGCCAACTTACATCCCAGCTAGCATTACAGGAGTGCCTTTTCGTCCCAGACTCCCCGAAAAGATGTCACCAGATTGGATATGCCAAGGGACAAGCAAATGATATCTCAGTGTAGGTTGTTTTCTTTATCGTTGTTCTTCTTTATAATTTTTTCTCTTCCTTTTTCTTTTTTATGTTTCTCTTACTGTCTCTGGTCCTTGATTCAGGATCAGTGTAGTTTTAATTTGCTTTTCTCTTCTGATGAGTGAGGTTCAGAGTTTTTCATATGTTTAAGTACCGTTTGTGTTTTCCTTTCCGTGCACTGCCGTATCTTTTGCCCATTTTTCTGTTGGACTGTTGGTCTTTTTCTTATCTATTTCTTAGCACTCTATGTTAGCAAAGTTAGTCCTTTGTCTGTAATATGAGTGTTAGTTTGTTGCTTGTCTTTTGATCTTAGGGGTGTATTTGCCATGCAGATTTTGCGTGTATGTGTGTGTGTGTGTGTGTAGTAATTATCTTTTTTAAAATGGCTTCTGGATTTTGATCCAAAGTGAGAAAGGCTTTGTCCTCCTGAAATTATAAAGGATTTCTCTCTTGTTTTTTCCTAGTACTTTTATGGTTTCACATCATACATTTAAATCTTTGATCCTTTTAGAATTCCTCCTTTTATATGTACAGTGTGAGAATGGATCCGACTTTTTTTTTCTAGCTAGCTAACATTATTTATAGACTGGTCACTTCTTTTCCTATTTCTTGAGATGCCACCTTTATTATTTACTAAATCCCCATATATTTTAAGGTCTATTTCTGGACCTTCTATTATATACCTTTAATCTGTACCAGTACCATAGTTTTAATTATTGAGGTTTCATAGTATATTTTAACATCTGCTAAAGCCAGTTACCCTTATTTATATTTTTGTCCCCAGTTTTTCTGGCTAGTCTTGTTTTTCATATGAACTTTAGAATCATCTTGCATAGTTCCAAAATCAAGTGTTGGTATTTTATTGGGTCTTTGTGTCTTTTTATTTCTCTAAGACTCCCTGGCTGTCTCTTGTTTTCTTGGAATCTTACTCTCCAAGTATGCCTTGTTAGCTCTGAAGTTGTCTTTTTCCCTCCTCTGTCCTTCACAAACCACTTATTTTGTTCCAAACTCTTTCTCTAACCATTTATTCTGCACATGCTTCCAAATGTTCACTCTGTGCCAGGCCTGTCCTGGGCCTTGAAGATACAGAGAGGAATAAGACACGGTCCCTGACGTCAGGCAGGGAGTCCCACTGGAGCAGCTAC